GGAAGACTTCTTGTAGTATAAGTAGTGTTGGTCTTCATTTGGTTTGAAACACACAACACACAAGAAAATATAGAATGAAAAAAGTTTGTCTAAAAGAGAGTTCTTATTAGTTGAAGGGATGTGTTTCTTTTGTGGAGCTTTGGACTCAACTCTTGTCCAGAGTTGTTGAGTTATATTTTGTGAAGGTTGTCGTGTCCTGGAGGGGACAAGTCAAAGAGGACTACTACTCGATCGGTGAAAACATTTGTTGCAGTGGGCTTGAATCTCATTAAAGAGAGCGAGATATACGCGCCTCAGCCTGAAGAGATTTCTTTTCTTCATTTTATTTTCAATTGTAATCTTGTAATTTTTTGTAATCGTGTAGGTTTTCACTAACAATAATAAATTGCAATTAATTAAATTTACATTAAAAATGTATTGCACAAATATTAAAGTTAAGTTAGTAGAGAATTAAATATAATGCAAAATGTAGAAAAAGAAAGAACATTCAGTGATCTCTAAACTAAATGAATTTATATGAAAAATGAATTTCACAAGTAATTCAATCGTAACAAATAGATCAATAAATTGCAAAATGAATTAAAATTGTATTACACAAAAATTAAACAAGTAAACAAATTAAATTTGCTATAAAGTTGTATTACACGATATTAATTATTGAATTAGAAGAGAAAATCTATATATATATATATATATATATATATATATATATATATATATATATATATATATATATATATATATATATATATATATAAAGTTGAATCTCAGTTTGCTGATGTGGCATGCCTCAATGGCCAGTATTACTATTTATCAAATTTTCCATAATTTTCATCTTTTTTCTATTAAAATCTGTTTTAGAAAAAAAAAATCCCTCATTATGAGCATTTAAAGCATTTAAAACATTTAATCCTTCCTTCCAAATTAAGTTGTGTAATGGTTATAAAGGAATGTATTTACCCTTCCACTTTTTCAATCAACCGTTACTTTTTTTAATTTGTACATGTAATGACTTTTAATATGTATTAATTTTTGAGTTATTATATGTTAATTAATTTTGTGTCTTCCCATAGTCTATGTTTTTTGTGCTATATATATAGATTGGGATTTCTTTTTTCTTTTATGTTGTTACTTGCTTACTCTATTTTGCTTTTAATTAGATTGTTAATCTAGCATATTCTTTTTTTATGGTATTTATCTGATATAGATGGTTTGATGATAAGGATTTTTTTTCTTTTTATATTGTAGCTTGCTTACTCATTTTGCTCCTAATTAGATTGCTAATCTGACGTATTCTTTTTCTTTTTTCACTGTTGATCATTACTGATATAGATGATTTGATGATACGGAATAAAATTTGAAGAACGTGAAATGTAATATATTTCAAGAAAAGTTGCAAATTGATTAATATGGATATAATTTTTAATGGATAAAAAATATCTTATATAGATTGGGATTTCTTTTTTCTTTTTATGTTGTAACTGGCTTACTCTATTTTGCTTTTAATTTGATTGTTAATATAGCATATTCTTTTTTTTACGGTATTGATCTGATATAGATGATTTGATGATAAGGAATTTTTTCATTATTTTTATGTTGTAGCTTGCTTACTCATTTGCTCCTAATTAGATTGTTAATCTGACATATTCTTCTTCTCTTTTCAGTGTTGATCATTACTGATATGGATGAATTGATGATAAGGAAAAAAATTCGAAGAACGTGAAATGCAATATATTTCAAGAAAAGTTGCGAATTGATTAATCTAGGTATAATTCTTATTGACTAAAAAATATCTTATTACATATTTTTGTAATACTAAATGTGTAGACCTGTTGAAATCTATATATATAAAACAAAGTGAAACATAGACGAATTGATGTCATACTTTCTTGTAATATTGCCATTATAATTTATCTTTATTTTTACTTTTCATTTTTTTTCAATTTTAAATATATAATCAATCTATTAAATAAAAGGACTTATAATGGCTATGAATTTGTATATTAATATACGAGTAAATACATTTTAAATTAGTTTTTTGTCTTTTTCATAGTTATTATTTTGTGTTATACATATATCAGTTAAGTTAGTAGGTTCAAATCAAGTTGATTGAAGGTTTTTTTAATTGATTATCAAAAACTTTAAAATTTTTAAAGTATTGACAACTATCACATGTAAAAAGATTCAAAAATTTTCTTAAGAGGTGAAAAATTAAAGATGACAAAGTTTGATTTTACAACACATGCAAAGAAGAAAAAGACTCTACTGTAAATCATTCAAATTTTAGTTAATTATCCGTCATATATTATTAATTACGATATCTTTTCCAATTTCTCTTCGGATGCTACTAATTTAGTGTTACCAAATAATTACTTTCTTGGTGAAGTATAAATTAATTTCAGGTATTAACATTTTTCTCTTTTTAAGCTACAAACATTTGTCATATAACATTTTTTTAAAAAAATAAATAATTATATAAAGGATAAGGTACAATAATACTCATGACAAAATAGTAGATGAACAGACACCCACAAAATAGCCATATGATAAAATTATTAATTTGTAATGTTGTAATCAATAAAATATATTATTTTGTGGAGATACTTATTTATTTTGAAAAGGAGCAGAGGAGTAACGGTAAAAAGAAGGATGCGAAAAATGAAGGTAAAGAAAAGACAAGGATTAATGCGTTGTTTAGTGTGAAAATTGTGAATGTTATAAAGAATAATTATTTCAAAGTTATAATCGTTTAAATTTTTTTTGTGAGCACAAATAAAAGTTGTTTTTTGAATTATAAATAATTTAAAGTGAAAAGGTGAAACATATTTTTATTAATTTTTAATATTTTAAAATTCAACTTCAAAGTGAATCTACTGAAAGATAAAATTTTTTTACTTTCAACATCATTTTCTTTCAGAATTTAACTCTCAAGAAAATAATATTTCATGAACAAAATGGTAAAAGGGCGATGGATAAAAAAAGTCAACAAAAAAAGAGAGAAAAACAATTTAAAAATATAGAAGAAAAGGAAGATAAAAATTATATAGCAAAATCCATTAAAGAGATGCTGTGAAAAAAATCAAATATTATTGTTTACTTTCACATGCTCAAGTAGAGTAAATATATTTTTATTCCATTTGATGACATAAGGTAATATAATGGATCAATCTTTCTTCAAAGTATCTCACACTTTCAAATGATACAATTTAGTGGAAAGTAAATATTAACAATCGATTAGATTAAAGTTTGAATTTTAATAAGTGATAACTATATAAAAAATTCTCACCGCGCGAAGCGCGGTTAAATTCACTAGTTAAGAATGAATAAAAAAACGTAACTAACGAAAGAAAAGACACCAATCTATAAACTGAATTAAAATTATGTTATTCATGAATAAAACATGTATTATATGTGTCTCATAAATTATTTTGGGTTTTATCACTAAAAACGTAAGTGATGTTTGTAATGTGTATTAAAAATGTATTGTGTATTTATTATGAGTGGCTTACCTAAATTATTTTAGTTGATATCATTAAAAGGGGAGTGAAATTTGCAACATGTATTATAAATGTAGGATGCATGATTTTAATAAAATTTTAATATAATTATAAAACATATCTCAGACAACATTAATACAAATCCGATATAGTTTCACAAACTTCATCATTTAAAGCTTCAATCTAGTATTTCTCCTAAAATCAATTCTAAACTTAATCAAACATTCTTAAAATTGAGATATAAACACCAAAAGATATTTTCAATTATTGTAAGACCAACTGATCCAAACTAATCGCAAATGAAATAGCAAACAAGTAAACTAATCATAACAAATGAAGAACATAATAAACTGTGGAATAAATTAAATTTGAATTAAAACTAATAAAATAATAAGTAATTCAATCGTAACAAATCAATCAATAAACTCCAAAATGAATTAACTTGTATTATACAAATATCAAAAATAAATTAGAAGAGAGCATTAAGCATGAATAGAAAATATAACTAATGAAAGACTAGACAACGATCTATATAGTGAATTAAATTTATATCAATAACGAATAAAACAAGTAATATAATAGTAACAAATAATAAACAACAAAAGGAATTAAATTTGCATTAAAAGTGTATACACCACATTAAAATAGGATTTAAAGAGAAAATTGTAAATAAATGAAAAACGTAACCAATGAAAGACAAGATAATAATCTATAAACTAAATTAAACTTGTATGATTTATGCATAAAACATGTGTTATATGTGTCTTATAAATAATTTTTGTTTGTATCACTAAGAACATGAGTGATGTTTGCAATATATATTAAAAAATGTACTTTTCATGATTTTAATACAATTATAAAAGATATCTAATTCAACTTTAATACAATTGAGATACAGTTCCTTAAACTTTACCTTTTTTTCGAGTTTCAATCTTATATTTCTCCTAAAATCAATTACAAACTTAACCAAACTATCTTAAAATTGAGATATAAACTTCAAACTGCTTTTTCAATTATTTGTAAATCAACCTATCCAAACTAGTCACGAGATCGTAAGATTCATAAAATGAATTTAAAATTTGAAACTTTATAATGACTATCAATAGTGACATTTTGCTATTATAGTTTAGAAATTTGAAAATTATGTTTGAAAACATAACAAATTTTTATTTTTCTATTTCTCTTCTCTCTTCTCATTATGATTTTGGGTAAAAATAATGAAATAGGACAAATACTAATTCAAGAATAATTATATAAATGAAAATTTTAAAAGAAGATTAAAAAAATAAGAGGAGGAAGAGAAAATAATAATAGAAAAACAAGTGAAGCATTACAATTTTTTAATAAAAAATATTATATCTAATTTTAAAAAAAATTATTATCTAAATATTTTCTTAATATTATATATTCATTTGATTTACCCTATTAAAAATGCAATATAATAATCATAAGATTGTGGTGGTACATATTTGGGCCATTGAGTGGGAGTCTTTTGGGTGAGTGTGTGGACACGTTCACGAAATGCCCATCACTTAAAAAAAAAAGAAAATCAATCCAATCAACATTCAAAAAAAATTTGTTCTAGATAAAAACATCATAACCCAAAAATGGCTAAAGGTTTTGGTGTGAAGTTACAGAGTCTGCTGCCAAAATTGGCGGGCATTTATCCATTTTCAGCCCCAGTTCAATGTTGTTCAAAGGCTCAAAATTCAATAAGTGTTGGTAAGAGGAGAGCAATTCGGTGCAGAAATATTCATCGTAGACTTGTCTTGGGGATTGGGATATCGTTGTGGTCTCAGTTCATGAGTATGGCTGACAATATCGGTGCTAAATCCTTTGTGGCTTCTGCAAGACAGAAGGGTGCAATTGAACAGGTAAATTATGCATCAGAATTTGCTAAAAATGACAATGGAAGTTACTAGTGGAAGCATTCCATAATCAAATTTTCATTGCAATATTAATTAGGTGGTGATTACGCCTAAAGTATCTAAATAGAAAATGAGTGAATCACAATAACTTAATTCAGCGTTTTTTGTTTTTTTTTGGGATGTGTTGATAAGCTGAATATATAAGTCAAGTGTATATAGCAACAGATGAAATAACTCGAAGATGTTTGTTGTCTTTGGCATCAATTCTTGGATAACTTATACGTTAATCTTGAGATTTTGAAAATGGCAAAATAGTATTGAACAGGTAACGCAACATGTTCCAGTGAAACAATGCAGCAGGTGTGTAAGTGGCGGCGAAGAGGCGGCGTACGAGTAGTGTTTAGTTATAGATGGTAACTTATATGTACGTTTTGTTTAGAGTAGTCTACTTGGTTAAGGAAAACTACTAAAAACAAATTTGAGTACAATAAGGTTTTAAGTAAAAGAGTTAGTAGAAGTCAACAAGGATTTGTAGAAGACAAATACAAGTTGATTTGTATAAGGATTGGCTGAATTTCTGGTCTATAAATAGAGAGCTATTTTGATCAGAAAAACTTGCGCACTTACAAAGAGAGAACTTCAAAACACGATCAAGAGGGTTGAGAGAGTTTTCTTAAAATCTTTTGAGTACTGCGAGTTGAGTGATAAAGTTGTAAAGATTGTATTCAAGAGTCTTGTTTACAATCTAGGTAGTTGAAAAGCATTGAGAAGATAGAAAACTAGGGAGTAGTTTTTTGTCTTTGAGTAGAAGGAGTTAGAGTTTATAATTTCTTGAGAGCTTAAGCGTTGTAATCTTTGTATTACTTGAAAATTACAAATAATACAAAGTGCTGTTCAAATTAATTACTGTTAAAGTTTTTCAAGCAGTCACAAACTAGTTGTTAGTACGTGTTCCTTTGAAGAATTCAGGAGGATAGAATTCCAACAAGTGGTATCAGAGCAAGGTTATCTTTAGAGAGTCTAACAACTCAAGATAAGATCAACATGAGTTCTGCACCTCCACTCGGACATGGTAAGGGTCAACACATCAACATACCTCCACTATTCAATGGACAATACTACTCATGGTGGAAGGCAAGGATGGAAGACTTCATTCAAGCTGAAGACTACGAATTATGGGTAAGAATTATTAAGGGACCACTAATTCCTACCATTACTGATAGTGAAGGAAATAAAATACCTAAACCCGCAGATACATATAATGAAGCAGATTATAAGATGCTAGGAAAAAATGCAAAAGCTAAGTGTATTCTTGTGTGTGGATTAGGACCTGATGAATTTAACCGTATCTCAAGTTGTACCTCTGCTAAACAAATATGGGATACCTTACAAAACGCTCATGAAGGTACAACTCAAGTCTGAAAATTCAGGATTGCTAGTTTGTGTTCAAAATATGAAGCCTTTAAGATGAAATTCGGAGAATATCTTCAAGATATGATCACCAGATTCATCACTGTGGTAAACGAACTAATCTCATTAGGCAAAGTATATACCACTGAGGAACGGGTTGACAAAGTACTTAGGATTTTGCCTAGATCTTGGGAAATCAAAGTCACTGCCATTAGAGAAGCTAAGGACCTAACTAATATGTCTTTAGATGAATTAGTTGGAAATCTCAAGACCTATGAGATGAATGTTGACAAAAGAGGTGAAGGGAATAAAGAAAAAGTTCTTGGTCTTAAAGCAACTGAAAGTGACGAATCAGACATAGATGACGATGATTTGGCTCTGATAAGTAGGAACTTCAAGAAACTCTTTAAAAGGGGATTAAACTCTACCAAGAAATCACCACCCTTGAAAGAAAAAAATCCTGAACGATCACAAAACGGAGGTTGTTTTAAGTGTGGTAAGACACATCATCAGATAAAGGACTGCCCAATGTGGGAATTAGAATGGAAAAAGGAAAAAGCTGAAAAAGAAAGGAAGGAACTCCTCAACAAAAAGAAAAACAAAGAAAAGGAACAAGCAATGTATGCAGCCTGGGGAACAGGTTCTTCGGACATGTATGAAGATGTTGAAGACCTTGCCTTGATGGCAATAGAAGAATCAGACGTTTAACCTGAATCAGACTCTGAAGAAACTGAGGTAAACTTCCTTAACCTAAAAGATAAGCTAGTAAAGTTCTCCAAGAAAAGGCTCTCACTCCTATTGCTTGCATCCATAGACAAAATTCAAGAACTTGTGAACACCAAAAGCCAACTACTTGCTTCCTTATCTAGCGTAAAGTTTGAGCACATTGATCTCAATAAAAACAAACTCGACCTTCAAGAAAAAATCAAGCAACTTGAAACCCAAAATCTGGAACTAAGAACTAAGAATTCAAAATTAAAAGTTCTTGGCAAAGAAAAAAAGGGTGAACTGCCTGACCAAAAGCTTGAGGTTGACAAACTCAAAAAAAACTTTAAGGCTAGAAAAGGAAAACTGTAAGAGGATAAATCTTGAATTGACTAGAGTAAGAAGTGATCTGGAAAGAGCAAACAAATGGACAAAATCCTCTATGATAGTAACGCATCTAGGGAACAACAATAGGAACATCAAAACCGGAATAGGATATGAACAACCCATAAATGGAAATCCTACGTTTTGTATCGTTTGTGGTAACTCTTGTCATTCTAAACAATATTGTCCCAAATACAAAATTGCAACTGAAGAAAACAACTCAACAAGAACCTATAGAACTGTTCAGAGGAACAGGTACATACCCAGAAAAAATAATCTGCCCAAATGGGCTCGTAGAAATCTGATTCACCCTTTTGATCAAAACAAAGAACCCAAGCTAATCTGGGTTCCTAAATCCAACCTCTAATTTTTCAGGAAGAAGTGAGAGAAAGCAAGCAGCAGTGGTACATGGACAGTGCTTGCTCAAGACACATGACAGGGAATAAGACATTGTTTCTCTCACTAGAAGAAGGAAAAGGAGGTATGGTTGCTTTTGGTGGTGGAAAAAAGGGTCAAATCAAAGGCTGTGGAAAGATTGAAAGATCTGATGAACATTCAATTGATAAAGTATACTATGTGGAAGGACTTAGACACAATTTACTCAGCATATCTCAATTGTGTGACAAAGGAAACAAGGTAATCTTTCGATCCACTGGTGTTGAAGTAATCAATCTAAACACACAAAAATTAGTGCTAACAGGAAAAAGGGATAAACATGTCTACACTGTAGATACCGCAACTATCTCTGACAAAAATCTAGTGTGTTTAAGTGTGTTGGAAAGAGATCCCTTGCTATGGCATAAACGGTTGGGTCATGCTAGCCAAGTTCAATTAAACAAACTTATCATCAAGGATTTAGTTATAGGACTGCCTAAAAATAAATTCAAGGAGGATAAGGTTTGTGAAGCGTGTACTCTGGGGAAACAGATAAAATCATCATTTAAGTCCAAACAGATGGTAAACTCAACTTGTTCCTTAGAACTAATTCACATGGATCTATGTGGATCAATGAGGGTTCAAAGTAGAGGGGGGAAAAGATATGTGTTTGTATTAGTGGATGATTACACTAGGTACACTTGGACACTATTCCTTGCAGCAAAAGATGATGCCTTTGAGGCTTTTTGTTCACTAATGAGAAAAATTCAAAGAAAATATGGGAAACAATTAAAGGCAATCAGATCAAATCATGGAACTGAATTTGAAAATTCAAAATTTGCCCAATATTGTGACTATCATGGAGTTGATCATAACTTCTCTGCCCCCAGAACCCCTCAGCAAAATGGTGTGGTAGAGAGAAAGAACAGAACTCTTCAAGAGATGGCTAGAACTATGATGATCGCGAGTAAAATCGCAAACCAATTCTGGGCAGAAGCAATAAATACTGCTTGCTACACCATAAATCGTTGCATGACCAGACCCTTGTTAGAAAAAACTCCATATGAATTATTAAAAGGCAGAAAGCCCAACATCTCTCATCTTAGAGTATTTGGATGCAAATGCTTTATTCATAACAATGGAAAAAATCTGCTTGGAAAATTTGATGCTAGGAGTGACAACGGAATCTTTCTTGGATATTCTACACATAGTAAAGCTTATAGGGTACTCAACAAAAGAACCATGTGTGTAGAAGAGAGTGTCCATGTTATTTTCGATGAAAGCAACACTATGTCTAATGAAGATGTGTTGGTCAGTAACACATCAGCTGAAGAACATACTGTCTCTGAACAGGAACAGGTCCAAGAAACCGGTTCCTCTGACACAACAAACAGAGAAGAAACTGAAACTCAAGGGAATTCTGATGAAGGAGTTGATACTGATGAAAATCAACCTGATGTTAATGAAGAGCAAGAGAAGGAAAGATCAACTCCTACCCTAAAAGAATACAAATACCAAGGATCACACCCATTGGAAAACCTGCTCACTGATTTTTCTTCTGGAATTACCACCCGATCAGGAATGAAAAATCATTATGCTCATAATGCATTTCTATCCATGGTAGAACCAAAGAAAATAAGTGAAGCCCTTCAAGATGCAGATTGGATTATAGCCATGGAAGAAGAATTACATCAATTTGAAAGGAGTAATGTATGGCATCTGGTACCTAAGCCCTCAAACGGAACTATAATTGGAACTAAATGGGTGTTTAGGAACAAGTTAGATGAACATGGTACCATAATCAGAAACAAAGCTAGGCTGGTTGTTCAAGGATATAATCAAGAAGAAGGGATAGATTATGATGAAACTTTTGCACCCGTGGCAAAAATAGAAGCAATCAGATTGCTTATAGCTTTCGCATCTCACATGGAGTTCACATTGTATCAGATGGATGTCAAAAGTGCTTTTTTAAATGGGCTATTACAAAAAGAGGTTTTTGTTAAACAACCCCCTGGCTTCGAGAATAATGACTTTCCTGATCATGTCTATAAGCTTGACAAAGCTCTCTACGGGTTAAAACAAGCTCCAAGGGCATGGTACGATAGATTGTCAAAATTTCTTTTGAGTCATGG